AAGAGATACTCATATTATTTACGATTTATTATAGTAAAAAACAAAGTAACTCTTTGGTTTCCAATCAAAATTTTTAGGACATATTAAAAATTAAGAGCTTATTCTTGATTATTTACTGTATTAAGTTTGTAAAATACGCATGTCAAGAAAGTACAAATTTTTGTTTGCAATACAACTATAAATATTTAAATACCTGTAAAAGCCTACCAACTAATAAATTCATGAAAAAATGTTATTCAATTTATATCTAATGTTGAAAAGTACAGGATTTTAAGGATAGATGATTGAGAATAAAATTATGGCAAATGAATCAAAATATATTTAAATATATTTAATTGTGAGGCTGATAAACAATTTAAAATAGTATTAATAAAAAAATGTTTACATGCAGAAATGAATAAAATGTAAGAATGCATTTATAATGTCTAAAAAGATGTTATTATTTATGTAATTCGTATTTTAAGTGTGCAAATAACAATTGATATAAAAATAACAATAGATATTAAGATTATTATCACTGAAACTGTCAAAATAAATAAATACGTTACAGAGAGATATTTCCATCCACAAAAGATGTTACATTAAAAAATAAATCCGGGTTATAAATATTCTAAAGAAGTCTTAACAAATTATGAAAAGTGAAATACAAATTTATGCCGAATTTGTATAATATGATATAATAAGAGTTACAAAATTTTATTGCTTTATTAAACCAGTAGTCCATTACTATATTTCAGATTATTTGTATTTTAATTATACGGAATTTACTTGTGATAATAGAGTGATGAAAACAATTCATAAAGCTTATAGCAAAATAGATGATCAATTTTTTTTCTTTTATAAAATTGTGTAAAATACCTAAATTTTACTCTTATGAGTTATTGTGAAAAGCTTCCATAACACAAATTTAAAAAATCTCGAATAATATTTTTTGTACATTGTAAATTTCTGTTATCTGCGTATGATAAGTTTTTCTGTATGTTGTATGTGAATATTAAATAATAATACAAAATGAAATATTTACTAGTTTTTAAATCATAAGTCATCCAAATTCTACAATATATAAAACACCCTCATTGCAAAAAGTATTATTTACAGCAATTGATTCCATAATAAATATTAATATAGCCATAGATGTACAATATTTCTATTTTATCTTTACTTTACCGTAGTGATGCTACCCGGATATCTATAGATTATCTGTCGCGGATTGAAAACTCACAAATTCCCATAATTATTTAATACGACAGTCTCAACTTACACATAATCCTTAAAAAGATAATGAAATATATTATGGATTAGGCAGTATTGTGGACAACTCTTTATTAATAATTCTGAAAACAACATATTAATTAGTTTAAATATTTGTAAAAACATCTTGACAAAGGAAGTCCTATTTGACGAGTTTAATTGATTGCGAATAGTTTGAAGCTATTATAGTTTAAAAGCTTTATGCTAGGCTGCTAGCTATTATTGTTATTTATAAAAGGTATAAAAAGTTTATTAGTATATTAAATGATGTGAATGATGGCATAGCATTGTAAAATTAAACTTGATCTATAGATCTATATCAAATGTTACTATTTTTCTATTTTTTTCGCTTATATTTTTTTCTTTTGTTTTTAATTTTTTGGTTTTATTTAATTTATTATTTTCTTCTACCTCCGTTTCATCAAATCTTTTCTTTATCATCTTACCTTTTCTAGAAATGATTTCTTTTTCTATTACAACAACCTGTTCACATCACTTTATCCACATTTCTTTTCTTAACATTTTCCAATCTACTTGATCCTGACCAATTTTATTGAACTTATTATTTATAAGTCTCTAATTATGGATGGCACGTGATTTAAAACAAGATGTTTTAAAACAATTTAAATCAGTTTTTTATTGTTTTAAAACGTTTTTTTTTTTTTGTTTTAAAACATTTGATCGGATTATTGCGTAATTATTTTTTAATGACCTTTTTGTATTTTTCAAGCAACCTTTTTTTTAAAATTATTCTCGTGGAAGATCATCATCAGAAGACGTCCGTAAGCACTTTGAAAAGTTACGAAAAACACCTGTGTAATTATTGTGGAAATGACATTAGTTAAGATTTAAAATTAATATTATATAATTTTTTTTTTTTTAACGAATAGTAGAGGATCACTAGTATCACTAAGCTATTACAAAATAAAATTCCCAACAAGGTCGGTCCGGCTATACTCTAAATATATATTATATAATAAAGTGCTTAAATTTTTATTGCAAATATGTATTACGTATTTAAATGCTAGTAAAGTGCTTAATGCTTTAAAACGCCAAAATTGGTTTAAAACGTTTTTTGCCATCCCTAACTCTAATTAATCTTATACTTATTTGGGAAATATTTGGAATCTTCTCTAATTATCTTAATAAAGTCAATATTAAATATTAATACATCTTATCGGCTTTACCACCATATCCATTTGATTCGTAGCTTCATATATTTCCACCATTTTGACTATGGCCGATTCAACTTCCAAAGGTATAACTTTATTATCCTCATGGATCCAAATATGATTCCAATATTTCTCTTCTTTTTCACATCTTGGACATATTACTGATTCGATTAAATTTGTATTTCTTTCAAATAAAATACTGTAAGTTGGTAGCTCTTTAAAAAATTCTTAATTTTTTACGTTCTATCATTGCTGTCTACTAAATTTGTAACAATTATTTTTGTTATTAATGGACGATAAACTATATTTCCAATCTATCTCCTGTAAAATATTAACTCGTCCTCAATTTTCTCATAATTTAATAATTCGTTTTTATGGTATGCAATAGATCTCTTTTTCGTCCAATTACGATAATCTCCAAATATGAAAAATGATTTCCAATAAATGCACATACGTCTAATGCGATATTGTTCTCAACGAGCTTGCATCTGTAACCATCAAGATTAACAATATCTAAAATTTTAGACTTTTTTCTTAATTGTAGCAGCCTTTTTATGCTGAGGGCTATCATGCATTCCCATGCTAATACCCAAACTTTTAGTCCATCGTTCTATAAACGTTAGTTCCGTACAATATTTGTTATTTAATCTTCATCTATTTAACAGGCGATTTTAGAAAATTATATAACTTCAACTGTCTAACCAGCAACAATGTATAAATCGCACTTACTATCTATAAGAAGTAACGCCATAATTATTGCATGCAAATGATGTAATATAGCGCCTTGCTACTAAATCTATCTTGGTTTCATTGTTTCTATCAAATTCTTCATCTAATACAACCGTCTATTTTGGTCGTATCGTTTAATTTTCCCTACTACTCTTCCTCTTCCCCATTGAATATATTATTATCGTTATATCAATAAATTTTTCATCTCCTTCTAGGCTCTATAAAATTGTCTATTGCATTAATTCGTCTATTAAATCCTATATTTTCCCTCTATTCCCCTAACTCTTTCAATAATTCGTTCTTAATTATAATATTTCTGTTTAATAAGTTTAATAATTTTATTAGCTTCTTTCTCATCTTTATTATTTTTCTATATAAAACCAACAACCTACATTAGAGGTCTGCATTGACCACTATTTTACAACCCGGCCCGGCCCGCACTTGGAAATTAACATAAAGTGCCCGGCCCGGACCGGACCGGACTTAAAATATCAAAAACCCGGCCCGGACCGGACCCGGACTTTTATTATTTTATTTTGTTGTAAAAACAAAAAAATTGGCCAACTTAATTTTGGCCAGTTTAATTTCGGCCGGAATTAAGACGATTTTGGCCAGAATTACGAAAATCCGGGTTTGACGAAAATTCATGTGCCGGCCCGGACCCGGACGATGATTTTTTGCGGCGGTATAAAGTAAATTTTGTGTGTGATAAAAGTAAATTTTGTGAAATTTTGTGATTTAGCCAGAATTATGCAAGGTTGGCCAACATTACGATTCGTAAATTCTGGCCAAATTTAGTATCTGCCGGAATTATAATGATTTCAAATCCTAAATCAGGCCAAAAACTTGAAAATTATCAACATTTTTATAGCCAAATTTTGTGATTTTCTGTGAAATTCTGTGATCACAAAAAATCATCGTCCCTGCGGCGGCCAGGGTGAATTTTGAAGAAAATTTGCCGGCCCAAACCCGGATCCGAATCCGGGCCGGGTTAGGGTTTCCGGGTTCCGGGTCCCGTTTGCAGACCTCTAACCTACATTATTATTAGCAGCGTCAATTCTCCTCATGTTTTAATATTCCCTTCATAGTACTCCTTGCATTTGATTAGATCCGGCGAATTATCTAGATCATGAACGTCTTTCGGAAATAAGTACAAACCTATACGTTTATAATTCATCTCGATTTCTTTTTATCAATACAAAAAACCGGACTATTATTAGCATTCCATGTAATTATTTCATTTTTATTTGTTCTTTCGATCTTCTTTTTCTTATTTTTCAAAATATATTCTTTCTTTAACCATCTACTATTACAAATTTTTTCTCTATATTAATGTTTTAAATTACTCTATGGCATTTTAATTTCATAATGAAATCTTTATTTAATAAAATTATGAATTTTCTTTTAATTTACTTGAAATTGTCAAGATAATCACTTGTTAGAATAATGACTTGTCGTATTGGATTCTTGGTTGTCAGGATTTAGAATTGTCGGAATTATGATCGTTGAAATTTATTAATACAGTTTATGATCGGCATCGTGCATGAATAGAAACCCGCACCCAGTGCCTTTGAAGTAGGGTATGACAATAGCAAATAGCACATCGGATATATAGTTATATAGTTAGATTCGTCCAATTATATATTAGGTCTACGTATTTTTACAATAGTCGTGCATAAGTTATTGACACTCTTATCCGAGAAAAAATGCGGTGATAAAAAAAAATGTTTAATGGCGTAATTTTCAACATCGACATGCTGTACAAATGTAACACCGGAAGATCTATTTGTCACACAAATAGTAAAAGTAAATAAAATGGTATTGACTTTTCTCCAGACTCTTTTAAACATGTCGAGAAATTCTAATAATAAAAATAGTGATACGGATAATAAATGGATTCAATGGATTAAAGATGGAATTTCTAATGAATATATTAATCATCACGATTATAGTGAGTTTCAAAATATAAAACGCATAGGTAGTGGAGCGTTTGGTAATGTTTATCGAGCTAATTGGAAGAGTTCAAATACCGTTGTTGCATTAAAATCTTTGACGAACGGTAATGATATCATGAAAGAAATTGTTAATGAGGTATTTAAGGTTATAACACGATAAGAATTATTATCATTTTCTTACAGTTCCTAAATATATACATATAATTTTTTTTTTTTTAGATAAAATTAATGCATAGAGTTAATTTTCACACAAATATTATTCAATTTTTCGGTATTGCAAGTAATACAAGTAAGTATAGGATATATGATATACTATAAAATCTAAATTAAATATATTAAATTTAAATAGGTCTGAGAAATTTATTTATTCATATATTTGAATAGATGGCATGGAATCAAATTACTTGTTTATTCTTGAATATGCAGATAATGGTACATTAAAAGATTATTTAAAAGATAATTTCAATAAATTAGATTGGAATATTAAATTACAATTTGCAATTCAAATTGCTGATGCTGTCTCATGTATACATCAAAAAGATATCGTTCATAATGATCTAGTAAAGTATTTATTTATTTGTTCTTCTAATTCGCAAGTAATCATCAAACATTAACTATTAATTTTAATATTCTTAGCATTCTGATAATATCTTGGTTCATCAAAATATGATCAAATTAGCAGACTTTGGTCTTTCACGCAGAGCTGGAGTATCAAATTCTGTAAAAGATGTTTTTGGGAAAATACCTTATATTGATCCACAACGTCTCGATAATCAAACAAACAACAATGGTAAGAAATCAGATGTGTACAGTGCTGGAGTACTCATATGGGAAATATCATCTGGACGACAACCATTTGAATCTTATTATAATGATCGTCTTAAAATGGCAACGCTTTTATTCGATATTATAAAAGGAAAGAGAGAAATTCCAATTGTCGGTACACCAAATGATTACATTAATATTTATACAAGTATGACTTCATTTATTATATTTCTTCTGATTTTTATAATTGCTAAATTTTATATTTTGAATAAAAATAATTTTTTAGGATGTTGGCAAGATAATCCAGATGATAGACCTGATATGCATCAAGTATTTTCTGATCTGATTAATTTGAGCAGGGTAGCACAAAATTTTGGGGAATTTATTCCACTTATAGATAAATTTATTAAATTAGGTGAAGAAGTTTTACTTTTATATGAAAAAGCAAAACATAATAAAGAATTATGTGGGTTTCTTTTAAATAGGTGTAATTGTGCTATGGCCGCTGTAAGAGATTTAAATATTAGAAAACTTGAAAATACGGAATTTTTTTCTAAGGAAGAAAATTTAAGGTTATTTAAAGAATTTATTAGATGTATGGAAAAGATAAGAAAGTTCGTCTCACGTATTAGTAAATTACACAAACTTCTAAAATATTTCGCTGCTTCTAATATTGAACAAGATTTTAATGATCTTATATTAGAATTTAATGGATATATGAGAAGCTTAAATTTTTCTTTTGTTGTACAATCTAGGGATGAACTATTAAAAATGAGAAATGATATTAGAGAAATTAATGATATGTTGATAAATGTTTGTGGCGCACCTGATGATAAACAAGCTCTTATAGAATATTCAAATAGAATAGATCAATTAACTATGAAAAATGTAAAATTTCAAACTTCCGCTAGACATGGTTGTTTTGATGAACCAATTATAATAGAAGATGATGATGACAATCCAAGTAATCAAATTCAAAATATTATCTCAATTACGATCCTTTCCGTTGATGATGCAATTCGTGAACATAAAGCCGAAAATGGTAACAAACGATTAGCGTGGGAAAGTTTCAAGTATCATTCATCGACAAGTCTTGAAGCAAAATATTTGTTGGGTTATTATTATTATCATGATTTTCATGATAAGGAAATTCCCGAATTACAACAGATTGATAAAAAAGTAAGGAATAAGGCCGCAGCGGAATTATTTAAAGAAACTGCGGATAAAGGAAATCCTTCCGCTCAATTAATGTATGGATTGTGTTTATGGCAAGGTGATGGTGTTAATGCAAATTCTTTTGAAGCTCTTAGATATTTAAAAAAAGCAGCAAGTTCAGGAAATTCTGCTGCGATGTATATTACTGGAAAAGTTTATTTGAATGGTGGTAATGGTATTATAAAAGATAAAAATCAAGGTGCTGAATATTTAAAAAGGGCTGCATTAAAAAATCATGCTAAAGCTAAAGAAATGTGTATCGAAAATAATATTAATTACAATATATGATATAAATTTTTTTTGGATATTTATTTGTATATTAATAATATATAATATAAATGTTTACATGTAAATAAAGAAAAGTATTGATTGGATTCAATCTACATAATTAAAAAAATTGTGTTTGTGTGACTAACGTTTAGATTAGCCTATATAAATAATCTTTGAATTGTCCAATGTGTTATTCATCTGCGCCTCTACACCTGATCTATTACGTTTAGACATACAATATTAATTACTAATATTGTGTAACATTTAATATGATCTATTAATGTGTTTGCGCCTATATGATCGTTCGCTTTTTTGAATTTGTTTAACGTCGCGACATCACGTCGTCACGCACGTAATAAACTGGCCAATAGAAGTAAGGTTGCACAATTTAGAATTTATTTATACAGGTAATCTAAACGTTACAAATTTTTTTAATTATATAGATAGATATTTATTTAGTATTTGGTAAAAATTGTTAAAGAAGTTGGATTTGACATCAAAGAATTATCTGATGAATTTTCCTCGATGGTATTAGAAGTCAACGCGACGAATAATTACAATGGCAAAACCTTTAGATGAACAAGTAAAACATTCAAATAATAATAATGATAAAATGTTAATGACAGATTAATTGAAATGGTTCAATCAAAGATTGATAAAATTTTCGCAACACGTCAATTAAAAATAACCGATTACGAAAAAACTGATGAGGAACCATGTGAAGATGGGCGCGTGACTAAATGGGTTAATAATATTAAAATAAAGATGAAGGGCTAATTCGCTTTTAAAATTATTTCTGAGGGAGAAAAAGCTAAAGTACAAAATTAATTACAATTCTTAAAAGAACTTCATGATTGGCAAATTATTACAAGAATTTATGGGCTTATTTGTGAAAGAGATAAATGGTATTTGGTATCTGAATAGGCTGAATATGGTAATTTACTTGAATATTATACAAAGATCGATTTGACATTATATTAAAATTATGTACGTCTCTTGATATTGAAATTTTTTGAGCCGTTGAGGTAAACATCATGAAAGTTTTCATTATTGCTTTATTTATTTAATTACTTTTTAATTTATTTTTTTGTTTTTCTTTTTAGATTGTGCATCATGATATTAGAGCTGAGAATATATTAATTACATTAAACCGAAACAGCAAAACAAGCAAATTTTAATTTAGTCGTTAATTATTAGAGGATCGCGGCTTCATTAAAACATAGCCAAAAATTAGAACGAGTTCGTTATTGCGCCTCTGAATTATTAGAGAGGGCTCATAATTCAAATATGACCATAAATGTGAAGTTTGTAGTTACTCTGGGAAATTGCAGAAAAAATAACACTTATGAGCAATATGTTGGTATTTTAAAAATAACTGATATAGTAGCGTAATAATAAATGTCATATCGGGAATCAATAGTCAAATGCCTCTGACATTCGTAAACTTAGCACTTGAAGGTATGTAAAAAGATAGTTATATGTATTTGTGATCCAACTTTTGTTTTATAAAATTCATTATTATTCTGTTTTGAGCTGTTGATCATGATCCTGAATTTAGGCCAAAAATCTCAAAAATGTATGAAGTTCACAATTAAAAAAATAAAGAAAAAGATCTCATTAATGAATTTCGACATCTAAAAAAACGAGTAAGCGAGACAAATAATTTTACAGACTAAAAATATAAAGCTGATACTGTTGTTAAAAAACATTGTCTTGGTAAGAAGACAAGCTTTTAACAAAAATTTTATGAATTAACTAAATGAAATTTTAAATACGCACGAAGAAGAAATTAGATTAGATATACAACTCACGTCCTTGCTAAATCTGAAATAACGAATGAGTGCCATTAACATGCAGTTTGATGAGTCAATTATATTGTATTTGAATATAATGGTTAAATTTTTATAATTCAACTAGCCGTTAACCCGTTGCTTTGCAACGGTATACTGTAACGTTGCCACCTTGAGCGTTGACAAAAATGATGTTTTATTAATAATATAAAATTACACAATTATGATATAATGCTTGGTTCTAAATTAATAATGTAATACTATAAATTATAAAAATAGAATTCAAAAAAAACCACTTTTTCCTAAATCAAATCAAATCTATCTATCTCCTATTTATAATAAAATGATTTACATATCTAAGTTCATAAAAATATTTCATTTTCCCTTTTTGAAGTTTTTCAATTTCGATTTTTAACACTTTTGATTTTAGTAATTCACTAGGCGTAACCCGTCGCGTTGCGCCAGGGACGATAAAGTAAGAGAGTAATAATAAATACAATTATATTTTATTTGCCATGCAGTGTGAATAGGTCCAGTTTTTTACTATTATTATGATGGGATTAATAGGAAATAAATGTAATAAATTACACAATTATATGATTGTACAAATAACAATGAATTGTGTGCAAGTGTTATACAGTATATGAAATATTATTATTAAACGTAAATTTTATTTATCACACGAAATAAATGTTGCAGTACTGTGAAATTTACAAATTTATTTCAAAAAAAGAAGTTTATTGTAACATTGTTATAAAAAAAATCTTTTTTTTTATCTTAAAAAATTCCATTGTAGCATTAAAAAAATTACATCCCCTAGAAAAAAAATATCTCACTAATTAATATGAAAAAAAATCCCTCAAAAAATCAATTATAAAAAAAATCAATTATAACGATCTATTGTCATGAAAAAACAATTTCCCATAAAATTTACTATACCGATCTATTATTACAAAAATAAATAAATATGAAGTAAATTATATCAGATATGTCAGTCTATTATTAAGCCTAAAAAATAGGGGAAATAATAATAATAATAATAATAAGAATCGGGAAAAAAAAGGCAATTACCGTGGTGCCGCAGCGTCAATCCGACCACCGATCCAAGCTTAAGAATGTGGTTCGGGAAAAAAAAATTCGAAAAGAAAAGCCAAACCGAAAAAAGAAAGGTGAAAAAATTTTTTTCGGATTGGGAAAAAAGTCAAAAAAAGAAAAACGAAAAAAGAATTCAAAAACGAAAAAAAAATAACAATAAAGAAAATTTGAAAAAAAAAAGAAAAATAAAATTTGGGGGAAAAGAAAAAGGATAAAAGGATAAAGAAAGAAATCGGTTTAAAAAAAGGGAAATTTTCGAAAAAAAAGGAATCCGTAAAAAAAATAAGTACCGAAAAAAAATTCCGAAAAAGGAAAAAGGTGGTTCGAAAGAGAAAAGAGGAAAAATAAAAAAAGAAAGAACCGAAAGTAAAAGATCGATTCAAGAAAAAAAAAGAAATTAAAAAAAAAAGGGAACTGAAAAGAATTCAAAACGGTTCGAAAAAAAGAAAAATTTATTTCATTAACCGGAATTGGATTAGATTATACAACTCAAATGTCGGAAAGCTATATGTAAAAAAAAAGCGTGACGTGGCTAACACAAGTGACCCAATACAAGGTTAGTATAAAGTCTAAACGTTACAAAAACAATTATTATTTAGTATAGATATAGATTGAGTATATTTAATAAATAAATAAGACTATGAAATGTACAATAAATTTGCTTCTACTTTGGTCACATTTTTAGTTAGAGTTAATGATTAATTTATAGTTAATTGATCCATTCTATTTGAAAATTCTAAAAGAGATTAAATGTCTTTTATAAGTTTGTATAATTACTGATATGTGAAACGAATTTTTTTTATCTTTTTAATACATTCAATAAATTCCTTAAATAATTTTAAATTTTTTCTGAATTTCAGTTTTTCTAATATCTAAAATATCTTACAGCTGCCATAGCACAATTGCACCTCTTTAAAAGGAAACCCGCACATTTTATATTACGCTTTGCTTTTTTATAATCTCCTCACTTAAATTAATAAATTTCCTATATATAAGCAGAACAATTTCTTAGCAACACTATATTTTATATCTTACTGTTAATAAATATTTTTATGCGTTAATTCATGTTTGATATTTCATTATTATCTTGATATATTATTATGTTATTATAATGTGACGATAAAGGTGAGAAGATACGAGAGACCAGGCTTGAACAACTGCATCCATCGTATCAATGGTTGAATCATTTATTATAACACGTGATGTTCTTGATTGATCATCATCTTAAAGATTATACTTTTTGAAATTTATACTTTTTGAAATTATATATCTTATTTTAGCTAAAGTTAAAAAAATAAATATTCAGTCTATTTTATTAAGGATTCTCTCAGAATTTCGTCAACGATTATCGCTTTATGATTGTGTATGATTTGAAAGTCTAAGAACTTCCTATAAGAAAAAAAAATAATATAGTATTCCTTTTAAGGGTAGAAATGTTGCGTGCTTGACAACTTTTTCTTGAAATCCACCTATATGGAGAGTTTATCAAGATGTGTAAACAGTAATAAATTATAATTTATGTTATAACTTATAACCGTTTTAAAATCACATTTATATATCATTACATAACGTCCTTGTTTGTTTTAAAAAAAAAGCGTATCATTGCATTCCACATACTATTTAAAAGGTGTATTGAACATATAAAATAGAATCCTGTAAAATATTTATTGAAAATTAACTTAAAGAATGTGAAATAAAATGCCAAGAGTTGCCTTAGTGCACGAACATTTTACAAACAAATTTAGTTCATATTATATTACATTATTAATACAATAAAAATTTAATGGATCCGTCTATAAATAAGTGATTCTAATTAAAAATCACTATAACTCTTCTTGGATAAGATCAAAAAAAGTACGCCACATTTATCCGAAAGAAAAGAAAACAAAAAATTTCTTAATTACTGGTCTGTCCAGTAATATCGTACTTATTTTTATATCTTTTTAAGGTAAAATATAAATTGAATATGGCTATACTAATTTCGCCCAAGGATCCGATGTAGAATTAGCTCGGATTCCATGTAATGACGCCAGAAGACATAAGTCCGGATGATTACAAATTATTACAAATCAAAAAATTACAGATGTTGATCAATCGGACCCTCCTGAATCAATGGAACTAGCTTCTTCGCTTATTGATAAAAATAATTTATGGCCAAAAAAGTTAATGCATTTATCCTCAACTGTTTTAGTAAAAGTCCTTTTAAAATAAAAATACGTATAATAAATAGTAAGTATAAGTAATATGATCACGTGAAATAAATTTTATGGTGACGCACTGACGCACTGACTCACCCTAATTTCATTATTCACACGATCGTCCGATTGGAAGTCAGTCTGAGAATCTAGAGAGTTAAAAATAATAAAAAATTGATTTGAAGCCTAACAGACTTTACTATTTCGTATGTAAGACTAAATTTTTAAAAAAAGAATTTTTTTTTTTTAACAGATTTATTTTTTCGTGGAAAAAAATTGTTTTAAAAAATTTTAACGATGACGTTATTATATGTAAATTACTGCGGTACTGCGGTGCCATGGTTGAGGTATCGACTGATTGACTGGTAATACTAAAAATCACGCTGTACGTTGTGCGACTATTCGGAAAAAAAAAAATTTATATAATAGGCATACACAATGAAACTTTAACTTTTCAATTTTTTTTTTAACTTTCTGTTAGCTTTTATTATTCAATACGTTCGATAATATCAAAATGCAAGATACCAAAAATACAAATGAATGGGTTAATTGGATTGAAGAAGCTGTTGGTAAAGAACATTTAAAACTTTATAAATATGAAGAATTTAATAATATTCATCATATTGGTACTGGAGGTTTCGGAAACGTATATCGTGCAAATTGGAAAAATTCAAGAAAACTAGTTGCATTAAAATCGTTTATTAGTCTTAATAACTCCATGAAAGAAATCGTTCGTGAGGTATTTTAATGCAATATAATACATTTTTTTTCGTCTATGGATTTTTATCTACTATATTTATTTCAAATATTTTATTTTTTATTCAGTTAAAAATTCAATGCAAAGTTGATTTCCATGATAACATTATTAGGTGCTATGGAATAACAAAATTTGAGTCAGGTATTATTAACATCACCTTGATAAATATAATACTCTTTTAATCTCAAAATTTTACAAAAGTTCATTTAGTAATTACTTCTTTTATCATTAGAAAATCATAATAATTATCGGTTAGTATTGGAATACGCCGACGGTGGTACTCTTCAAAATTATTTAAAGGAAAATTTTAACAAGCTTACTTGGGATGACAAATATAATATGGCATACCAGTTATCTTGTGCCGTATCATGCTTACATAACGAAGGAATAGTGCATCGTGATTTGGTAATTTATTTAACCTTATTTAATCATTAATCATATTGTATTATTAATTTTTAAAAAAATTTGATATATATGTATGTTTCTTTAATAGCACTCCTGTAATATACTAGTCCATAAAAACATAATCAAATTAGCAGATTTTGGATTATCTAAAAGAATTGGAACATCATCTAATTTACAATCTAAATTATTTGGTGTGCTTCCTTATGTCGATCCAAAAAGCTTTAGTAGTCGAAGAAATAATGATAATCAATCAACACAAATGTTCTCATTAAATGAAAAAAGTGATATTTATAGTATAGGCGTATTATTTTGGGAAATATCTAGTGGGCAGCGTCCTTTTTATGTTGAGAATGAAGGATATAATATTGGTTTAGCTATGGATATTTCACAAGGTTTTAGAGAAACGGTTGTTCCTGATACTCCTGAAGAATATATTAAAATTTATACCAGTGAGTAATATTTTAATTTTTAAATTTTATATTCTAAATATTATTAATTCTAAATTATGTTTGGTTTTAGAATGTTGGGATGGGGAACCAGATAATCGTCCAACTATATATCAAGTAGTTGATTGGCTACATGCAATAATTACAAAATTAGATGTAATAGTAGATCACCATCAAATGTCAAATGAACAAGATGATGATTTTTTTATAACATCTCAATTTATTCCAAATTTTGATAAAATGAATACTAAAGAAATTGATTCTATGTCAATATCAAGTAAACAAGAAAATCTTTCAACTGAAAAAGATTTTAACCTTATACTAGTTGATGAAATAAATGATTTTATTTATAAATTAAAAAATGAAGGAATTGAATTGAATTTAGAAAGGCAGCAAGTTATTGAGTATTTTAATAATCATAATTTAAATTCACAAGAATTTTATAATTGGTTATTAAATAACCAAAATAGTTCAAATTCTATTTTTATTCTTGGATATTTTAATTATTGTGGAATTATAACAAGTGAAAATAATGATAAAGCATTTAATTTGTTTATTAATGCATCAGAAAAAAATCATACATTAGCACAAAATTTTGTTGGTTCGTGTTATGAACATGAATATGGAACTATAAAAAATAAAAAATTAGCATTTGAATATTATGAAAAAGCTAGAAATAATGGAGTTATAGGTGCAGTGTATAATCTTGGTATTTCATATAAAGATGGAATTGGTGTTGAAAAAGATTATAATAAAGCTTTTGAATTGTTAAAACAATCAGCTGAAGAAGGACATATAAAGGGATTAACAATGTTAGGATATTGTTATGATTTAGGTATTGGAACCAAAATTGATAAACAAAAAGCATTTAAATTATATCAAAAATCAGCAGATTCAGGAAATATGGTAGCACAAAATAACCTTGCCGTATTTTTTGAAAAAGGAAATGGAATTACAAAAGACATAGATAAAGCGATTTATTGGTATGAAAAATCTGCCAAACAAGGATATGAGTTAGCAAAAAATAATTTAAATAAGCTTCAGAATTATTAAATTAACTTTCTAAAAATTTACAAAATAGTAAATACACTGCTCTAAAATAATGATAGTTGAAAATTTTACCTATTTTATTATATATATAACTAGATAACGGTATAACTCGTTTTCATGTAAAAAAAAGCGTGACGTAGCTAAGCCGCGTTATGTAACAGGTAACATAGTTAACACAATACAAAAATATTTATAACAGGTTAGTCTAAACGTTACATTACACACAAAAACAATTATTATATTGTAGATTTCTTTTATATTTAAACATATTTGGTGTCTGTTATAATATCTTCAATTAAATGACTTTCAACGTCGGAAATTTAAAAATGTAAAAGTTTAATGCTGTATTTCTTTCTATTTTTGAAAATAAATTTATATATGGAAAAAGTTCAATTTGTAAAAGATAATTAAAAAGTAAACATAAATTTAAAATAAAAAATGTTATTAGTCAGTTTTAATATTTTATATAAAATGTTTTTGATCAAAAAGTTTTTTAAAAAAATTAAATATATAACTAAATAAAAAAAGTTATTAATCCCATCTAAAAATTACTATGAATACTTATAAATTTGTGGATCTGATAAATAGTGGAATTTTACAAGTAAATAAAAATAATATTTCATATTACTGTTATCAATATTGTGCGAAAATATTTTTAGTATTACGATTCTAATTATAATATATTTTTCTGGAATTTTCTTCACTTGTAAATACCATCTTTAGTTAAACTAGGTTTCAATAGGATTTTTGATTCTTTTTTATTATTTATTCAGAAAATAAACATATATCTGATGGCTAATAACTATATACAACCCAATATTAAACTACACTTATATATTTTCTTTAAAATTCTGCTCATCTTTACCAGTCTTAGCACGTTTTTTCTGAACATTTTTTCTTCCTCATTTTCAGGAAGCCTTGTCGAACAAACTGTATTTACTTCATCGTACCCTTCTAATTCTTCTTTCGTCGGTCTTTTTGTTTCCTGATACATTTGTCCCATAACTATAAATTTTTGTCTGTCTAAATATTTCTTCTTACTATCTTCTATCACGTGATTATTTGTCTCCTTGTCTAAAGTCTTTAAGTCTCAACACACTAACTATCGGTCTGTACCACCTCTTCATGTTTCGTATATTCATCTAACTTCTTTTGTTGTTTCATCATTCAGCATCCTAATCTATATTTTATTCACTATAAGGATTTTTTGGTGTAATAGGAGGAAAAAAATGTTCAACTATTGTAATAAAGAAAACCGGGTTATCTCAGTATGTTACACAAGAGCGCGATCGGTGGTTTGTTAAATATTTAATATATTTTGTGCCTCGTATAATAGGATAGCATGTTTTAGAGCGACACGTTGCTTTATTATCTTTTGTAATATATAGATAAATTGATTTGTAGTAAATAATCTATTTTTATTCACGCGCTTCGTAAGAGTTTAAAAAAAAATCACGGATAATAGATGTTATAATAATATTATTATGCATGCAAGTACAATTAATATTTGCGCATTAAAAATCCTGGGCGTTTTTGTTTCGTCAATAATCTTTTTTTTTTTCATTATTATTGATATTATTTCACTTTTCTAAAAAAAAAATTAATGGATAATTCAACTCTAAATATAACATTGTGTCAATATATGATTTATTATTACTTTGTATCATAAGCTTAATGTTCATTATAAAAGATTTTAAATATATATTTATATATCACAATCGGATTTATTTATTTTTTCTCAATCACACATTTAGAGATAAATTTTCATATATTTCGGAAAAAGAGAAGATAAAGGCGTGATTTGTTTTGTGCAATATAAACATAGATAACCAAGGTTTACTTCCATGAAAGAATGAAAGATGCTGACAGATTATTTCCTTTTACAAAAGTTTTAATAATAGTTTATATAATAATAAATAATTATAGACGCAAAAACAATTAACGCGTCCATTCACGTTTTCTATTCAAGATACTTAAAATACCAACAGAGTCAAACAGATTATTGTAAAATATACGTAAAAAATAATATCTACGTAATTTTGTGCAATGTTAAATATTTAAATTTACGAATACGTCGTCTTTGTATCTTTTTTTTTATCTCCCCCCTTAAATATACGCATATTATATTTATACCCTCTTTAATATACGTTACACAACCGAAAATGCCTTCTCAAAAAAGACAGAAACAACTAAGAAGACGAAGAATCGCAAGAAGACATTTTTGACCTAACATACCTATTAATAATGGATTGAGACTTATCGCGAACCTTTAATTTTCAACGGATTCTCTTTTATTAATTACAACAGATTATAGCCAATGAAAAAAATGAATAAATTTGGCAAGAAATTTATTAATTTATTTATAGTATAATAATTGAAATACTTTATTTATTATTATCCATAAA